TGTTGGCTCAGGTCTGTCTTGGATCTGGGTGTGATTTCCACCTCTAGGTGAAAGGGAGGATGGGGTGTGCATGGGGTGTCTTTAGGAAGGACACTGCCTTCTGGTTCTCACAGAACACTTGGGGTTCCAAGGCGGGTGTAGCCCGTAGGATGGCGGGGATCAAACCCAGATCAGCCACGTGCAAAGCAACAACCTACCACTGTACTATCACTCCAGCCCTTGAATTTCTTCTTTGACGAAATTTCTGTTCATTATTCCTCTCTGCATTTGTTTGATGGGGTTGGGAGATATTTTTTTTTGTAAAGTTCTACCAATGTGCTATATAACTTGGATATTAGCCTTTCATCAGCTAGGTATTGGGTAAATAATTTTTCCCATTCTGTGGGCTATCTTAGTAGCTTAGATGCCATTGCTTTTTTTTTTATTAAAAACGCATTAGAACTGCTTTGTCACCTCTTGATAGATCAACCAGACTCAAGCTTAGCAAGGACATACTTCATTTGAGGGAAACAATGTAAGAAAGGGACTTAGTAGATATATACAGGACACTTCATCCACAAAAAGCGGAATACACATTCTTCTCAAGCGTACATGGAACATTCTCCAAGATAGACCACATGCTGAGCCACAAAACATGCCTCCATAAAATTAAGAAGGTAGAGATTGTATCAACAATCTTCTCAGACCATAATGCGCTGAAATTAGAAGTAAATCACACACAAAAACAGAAAACTAAATCAAACACCTGGAAATTAAACAATGCACTATTGAACAACGAGTGGATTAGACAGGAAATCAAAGAGGAAATCAAAAGATTCCTAGAAACGAATGAAAATGAGAACACGAGTTACCAAAACTTATGGGACACAGCAAAGGCTGTGTTAAGAGGAAAGTTTATAGCTCTACAAGCATTCCTCAGAAAGGAGGAGCGAGCACATATAAGTAACCTAACCTCACAGCTTAAGAGCTTGGAGAAGGACCAAAAAAGGGAGCACAACCCGAACAGGAGAAAGGAAATAATAAAACTCAGAGCAGAGATTAACGAGATGGAAACACAAAAAACAATCTGAAAGATCAATGAAACCAAAAGCTGGTTCTTTGAGAAAATTAACAAGATCGATAAGCCTCTAGCAAAACTCACAAAGAAAGGGAGAGAGAAAACCCTAATAAACCGAATCAGAAATGAAAAGGGGGTCATTACAACAGAAACCACAGAAATTCAGAGGATCCTCAGGGAGTACTTTGAGAAGCTTTATGCCACGGAACATCAAAACCTCGAGGAAATGGATAAATTCCTAGACTCCTACAGACTCCCAAGGCTGAACCAAGCAGACCTGGAATACCTGAACAGACCTATCACCATCAAGGAAATTGAAATGGTAATAAAAAGTCTCCCCAAGCACAAAAGTCCTGGCCCGGATGGATTCACTAGTGAATTCTTCCAAATCTTTAAAGAGGACTTACTCCCAATCCTCTTTAAGCTTTTCCACGATATTGAAATATCAAAAACACTTCCAAACAGTTTCTACGAAGCAAATATCACACTGATAGAAAAAGCAGGCAGAGATACCACAAACAAAGAGAATTACAGGCCGATATCCCTGATGAACACAGATGCAAAGATCCTCAACAAACTACTAGCAAATAGAATCCAACTACTCATCAAAAAGATCATACACCATGACCAAGTAGGATTCATCCCAGGGATGCAAGGATGGTTTAACATTCGAAAATCAATCAACATAATCCACCATATCAACAAAAGAAAAGATAAAAAGCATATGATCATATCAATAGATGCAGAGAAAACATTTGATAAGATCCAGCACCCCTTTATGATGAAAACCCTAGCCAAAATGGGTATAGAGGGGACCTTCCTCAACATAATTAAAGCCATCTACCACAAGCCTACAACAAGCATCATCCTCAATGGGGAAAAACTGAGAGCCTTCCCTCTAAGATCAGGGACGAGACAGGGATGCCCACTCTCTCCACTGCTGTTCAATATAGTACTGGAAGTACTTGCAATAGCGATTAGGCAGGAAAAAGATATTAAGGGCATTCAGGTAGGAAAGGAAGAAATCAAGCTCTCACTATTCGCAGATGATATGATACTCTACTTAGAGAACCCAATAACCTCCACCAAAAAACTCCTAGAAACAATAGACTTGTATAGTAAAGTTGCAGGTTATAAAATCAATACCCAAAAGTCCATGGCTTTCCTATACGCAAACAGTGAGAGAGAAGAAAGCAACATGAAAAAAACAATCCCGTTCACAATTGTGCCCCAGAAAATCAAGTACCTAGGAATCAACTTAACTAAGGAAGTGAAGGACCTGTATAAAGAAAACTACAAAACGCTATTTCAGGAAATAAAAGAGGACATGAGGAAATGGAAAGATATCCCCTGCTCATGGGTCGGGAGACTTAACATTGTCAAAATGGCAATACTACCGAAAGCATTGTATAAATTCAATGCAATCCCTATAATGATACCCATGACATTCTTCAAAGAAATGGAGCAAACACTCCTGAAATTTATATGGAACAATAAGCCCCCACGAATAGCTAAAGCAATTCTTGGGAAAAAGAAAATGGGAGGAATCAACCTCCCGAACTTCAAACTGTACTACAAAGCAGTAATAATTAAAACAGCATGGTACTGGAACAAAGGCAGAACTGCAGACCAATGGAACAGGGTTGAATACACTGACATCTCCCCTCAATCATATGATCATCTAATCTTTGATAAAGGTGCAAGTAATGTGAAGTGGAGTAAGGAAAGCCTGTTTAATAAATTGTGTTGGCATCACTGGACGGCTACATGCAAAAAAATAGGCTCAGAACTCTGCCTAACACCATCTACAAAAGTAAGATCAAAATGGATTAAAGACCTCAACATCAGACCAGAAACCATAAGGTGCATTGATGATAAAGTTGGCAAAACCCTCCATGACATTGAAGCTAATGGTATCTTCAAAGATGCCACGCCACTGGCCGAGCAAGTGAAAACAGAGATAGATAAATGGGACTATCTTAAACTAAGAAGCTTCTGCACCTCCAAAGAAACAGTGACCAAAATACAAAGAGAGTCTACAGAATGGGAAAGGATATTCGCCGAATACACATCTGACAAGGGGTTGATATCCAGGATATACAAAATACTGGTTAAACTCCACAAGAAGAAAACATCCAACCCCATCCAAAAATGGGGCAATGAAATGAACAGAAACTTTCTCAAAGAAGAAATCGGAATGGCAAAAAAGCACATGAGAAAATGCTCTACATCATTAATCATCAGGGAGATGCAGATCAAAACCACAATGAGATACCATCTCACACCTCAGAGACTGGCCCACATTCAAAAGAACAAAAGCAACCGATGCCGGCGTGGATGTGGCGAGAAAGGGACACTCCTTCACTGTTGGTGGGAATGTCCACTGGTTCAGCCCTTCTGGAAAACAGTATGGATGATTCTCAAAAAATTAGAAATTGAGCTCCCATTTGACCCAGCAATATCACTCCTGGGAATATATCCCAGAGAGGCAAAAATGTATCGTTGAAGTGACATCTGCACTTGTTTGTTCATTGCAGCACTCTTTACAATAGCCAGAAACTGGAAGAAACCTGAATGCCCACGAACAGATGACTGGTTAAAGAAACTTTGGTACATCTACACAATGGAGTACTATGTAGCTGTTAGAAAAGATGAAGTCATGAAATTTACGTACAAGTGGTACAACATAGAAAGTATCATGCTAAGCGAAATGAGTCAGAAAGAGAGGGATAGACATAGAAAGATTGCATTCATCTGGGGGATATAAAGTAACAAAATATGAGATTAATACCCAAGAATAGCTGAGATCAGCACCAGGAGGATTACTCCATAGCTTAGTGGCCAGTCGGGCATTCTAGAGGAAAGGGCAGCTCAGACAGAGAAGGGAACACCAAATAAAGGGTGTTTGGAGGACCCTCCCAGGAGGGGAGATGCATGTCGAAAGTGGACTATGGACTGAACATGTTTGCCACTCAATGCCTCTTTTGCAGACCACAACACCCAAAAGGAGAGAGAGAACACAGGGGATTGCCCTTCCACAGAGGCAGGGGGGCATGGGGGATGGGGGTGGGGGGGATATTATCCATGTTGGTGGAAAATTGGCACTGGTGGAGGGATGGGTATCTGATCATTGTATAATCTAACCCAAGCACAAAAAATTGTAAATCTACAACTGTACCTCATGGTGTTTCACTAATAAAAAAAAATTAAAAAAAAAAAAGAATCCCAGGTTAACCATTGCTGATGCTAGTGGACAACATGATTTCCTGGCAGGTCACTTGGGGCCCTGGGCCGGGTTTCTGTGGGCTCCTTATCTCATGGGCATCACAGTCTGATTGATCTTCTGCCTACACAGGTTTTCTTTGTATTGGCTCACATTGCCCTTTGATCTAGGTGTGATTTCCATCTCTGGGTAACAGGGAGGATGGGGTGTGCATGAGGGTGTCTTTAGGAAGTCCCTTCTGACTGTCACAGGACACTTGGGGTTCCAAGGAAGGTGTGGCTGTCCGTTGGTTCCCGAGCAGGATGTTGGGGGTTGAGAGAACGCTGAGGAGGGAGACCAAGCGTTAGGAGGGGCAGTCACAGGGGTCTCCGAGCAGGTGTCATGCTTACCATGGCCTCTTGGGTGATCCGCTTGCATGCCAGACTCAGGGTTTTTACTTTTTGTTCCTTTGACTCGGTGCTCCCTTCCTCTTCCTTCACCATTGCACCAGCCTCCTTATCTCATGGGCATCACAATCTGATTGATCTTCCTCAGTCTTCATGGTCTATTTCCCATGATTGACATCCTGGTTCTGTTGGGCTGTGGAGCAGCCCTGTGGTCTTAGCCAACCAAGGGGAGGTGAAGTGGCATGGGGCAGGGCCCACCTGGCTCCACCTCCCCCGTAGCCCTGCCTCCTGACCCCCGTAGGTGGCTTCTCCCTCCTGGGACCCTGCTACTCACCCTTTTCAGGGTCTCTGCCATTTCAGGGGTGGAGAACTGCCGCTTCCAGTTCTCCTGCAGGGCTGACTGAGCAACCCCTGAAGGTGAAGAGAGTAGGTGAGGAGCAGGAGGAGCCGGCTGCCGCCTTCCTGCCCAGAGCCCACGGCCCTTCTCACCCGCGTCCCCATCAGCCCACGCCTTGTTGTCTCTAAATCTTCCTTTTCTTCATCTTTCTTGTGAGGCAGCTGCTCCTTCCCAGAGCCCAGGTGCTGTTGGGCGGTGGCCCAGTGCTGCAGGAAGGAACTGTCGCTGCAGGTGCACTGCGCCTGCACCTGTGACAACCCTGGGAGTGCCTGTCGCCCAATCCCTGCCAGGAGAGGCAGGCTCAGACTCCCAGGCCCAGGCAGGCAGCACCTGGTGCAACCAGCCCTGATGTTCTTGCTCCCGGGGCCTAAGACATGGGGCCTCCCCGGGCAACTAGCCCTTGTCTCTTTCCCTGCTGCACCCACATCCTCAGAACCATTTGGAGCAGGATGGGCCAGTCAACATCACTGGGAGGCCTCCTGCCCTGTCCTTCCCCTCTCCCCCATAATCCAAGTAGGTCTCTTGTCCTCCCAGGGGAACTTCTGGACAGGAAAGTCCAGACCCAAACATCAGAAGCCTCTCACGCCAAGAAAGGCTTCGGGCGGAGGGTAGCAGGCTTTCCAGAAGGGCCGTGCCCCAGTCTCAACAATCTGCCCCAGAGCTCAGCCAGCTGCTGGAGGGCTCATGGGGTGGGCAAAGGGCGTGGGAACGGTTCCCGACTCATGTTCCATTCCGTCTAAGATGCAGCTCTGAACCTAGCCCTGCTCACCCCACACCACAGCCCCCTCCGGGGATGCTGCCCCTGCTCCTGTAGACTCAGGGCAGCGTCCTCGTACCTCAGACGAACCTGCATCTTGCCTGGATCTGGTGGAAACTTCCTGACCTCCATTGTAGCTGTTCTTTCATATTCCGTAGCCCAGACGGAAGAGTTGGGGGCACCACGGGGCTAATGCACCTGAGAGAGGGTAGACAGTCAAGGACCCCAGAGCCTTCACCCCACCACCAACTTCCTGGGCCCCCATCCTCGGACTTGGGGTTCCTCCTGCTCACCTTGGGGGGCTGCTCATCTCTCACAGCCTTCTGCTGCTTTGGGTTCATCACAAAATCAATTCTTTTCTTGTTTGGAACCATTTGTGCCCGCCTGGCACTGCTGGAAGGGGGCACCAGGACAGGGCAGAAAGGAGGGTTCCAGACCCGGGCCCTACTTTTCTCTTCACGTTCATGCTCATGACATTCTGGAGGAGTGGATCCTCACCTGCTGCCCCACGCAGGGGGACACCGAGGTGCAGAGGGTCAGGGAGACTCGCCCAGCTCCTGCTCCCAGCCTGTCTCCCCATTCACAATGCCCCGTTCACAGGGCCTCTCCCTGGACACTCTAAGCCACCCCTCTGCCTTGCCCGCCCTCTACGTCACAGACTTGAAAGCTCTGATCCCGTGACTCCAGCCCCCACACTCACTCATCCAATCATACATGAAGCTCTGCAATGTGGGCTTCCATATTTTTAAAAATAGGTTTTATGTTGTTTCAATTCCTGTCTCCAGCTTGTTTCTCTGAGACTGGCCTCTTGAAATGGTAGGACAGCTGGAGAGTGGTTTAGGCATTCAGGGACCCTGCTTTGATTTCCCAGCACCACAAGGGAAGCCCTGAGCACTTGCCGGGCCTCACTCCTGAGTACAGAGCCAGGAAAAGCTCCTGAGCACAGGAGCTCTGGCTCAACGCCCTGCCCCCCAATAAAAGAACACCATGGGATTGGAAACGTTGGGTGGGCATGGCCATGGCACCATGCCCCCTGCACAATCCCTGAATCTGGAGGTGGGGCACATTCGGGGGTGGGGGGGACAGGTTCCCCCAAGGAACCTCCTGGAAGGAATACCTCACTCTTTCCTTCCACCTATCAGTTTGAACATCCACCTGCTTCTTAGAATTGTCTGTCTCAGCCTGCGCCTGTCTCGACTATTGTTGAGCTCAGAGAATTGGGTCTCTCGCATCCCTCACTTCCCACAGGAGTGCTTCTGGTATCCCCATCTCTCCCTCTCCCACACCTCATGTTTCTCAATTCTTCTTTTGCACGCAGCTTTTCAGCAGCCTGGGGGTCGCTGCCATGTTGCCCTGTTGGGTCTGTGAACTAGAGGGTAGGAGAGGAGGCTGTTACATGGAGGAAGGTAGAGTCAGGCCACAGGGAGTTCCCCCCTACCCCCCCAAAAAAGTTATTAGGACTGAATCATTAGAAATCATTAGGACTGGGATTTGAGTTGGCCCAGTTTTCATTTCTGCATCCCCTCTCCACACATTCCAGGTTTCTAGTAGTGGAAGATATTTGTCCCCCTAATCCTTGGGATCCAGTAGTGGGGGACACCTCTGTTCCACTGATCCCTGGGTTCTAGTGGTGGGGGACATTTCTGTCCCCCACAACTCAAGTCTAGTGGTGTGGGATAATTCTGTCCCCCTAATCCATGGGGTCTAGTGATGGGGGAGTTTCTGCCTCCCTGATCTCTTGTGTCTTTAGGTGGGGGTCATTTCTGCCCACCTAATAATACCTTGTGTCTTTAGGGGGTCTGCACCGCCCACACCCTGGTGTCTAGTACTGAGTGCAGTGGGGGGGGGGGGTGGAAGGAGAAGGGAGGAGGGAAAAGGGTGGGAAGGAGCAGGTCGGGAAGGACGGATGGGGCTGAATTAGTTGGATTCGGAGAGGGTAGAGTTCATGTGTGCAGCAAAATAAGGGGATTAATGGTGAATAAGGTTGTCAGCTGAACTTGTGATTACGAGCTGGATTTGTTTGATTTTGCTGGTAGTCGGGTCACTCTGGGTCCCGGGTCAGGGGTCTGTGGCCTCCTGTTCCTCAGACAGAAATAGAGTCTCTTGGGATCCTCACACACTCTACTGTCCGGCAAGCCTAGATATGGACCGCAGCCTCCAGCTCCAAAGTCTTCTCACACTCCTCCAGCCGGTCTCCTCATACGTAGCCTCCAGCTAAACAGACTTCAGGGTCTCACAAACCTCCACTATGTTCGAAGGCCAAAGGGCTCCTCCTCCATGCTTCTGGCACAGGACGTATTTTGGAAGCATGTGTCCAAAGTCTCAGACAGCCAAGGGAGGTCAACAGGCCTGACTGCAGCCCCGCTTCCTGACCTCCATGGCGGGGGGTGGTCTCCCACCTAAGGAACCTGTCACTCACTTTTCTCGGGGTATCCTTATGATTCCAGAGGGCCTGGAGCTGCTTTTCTCCTGTTATGTCTGACTGAGGAACCCTTGAAGGTGAAGGTACTAGGTGAGCCGGCAGGGTGGGAGCCAGCTGCCCCCTTTTTGTCTGGGAGCCTGTGACCCCTATCTCACTTGGATCTCCCTCGGCCTCCTGAAGGCTGCCTCCAGCAGGGCCTGCTGCCTTGTTAGCACCTGCTGCAGCTCGTTCATGAACTGCTTCTGCTAAAGCACCAGCTTGTGCAGCTGCTCCACCTTGGAACACAGGTGATTGCTGGCATCCAGGTGCTCTTGGATTGCAGTTTGTGATGCTCTAGGTAGCAGCAGAAGCTAAGCAATAAGGCAGCGGGCATTGCACCGTCTCGTCCTGCACCTGCATCTGTGGGTAGGACCTTGGCTGTGAGGACAGGCAGGAGGGCCGACAAGATCCCAGCCAGAAGATGCAGGAATCCGACAACCCCCCCCCCCCACAGACCCCCATGGGGTCTTTCTCCCAGGGCCTAAGAGATAGGGCCTCCCTCTGCCTTGAGCCCTTAATCCTACCTGGCAGGCTCCCCTCTACGAGGACCCTCTCTGTACAGTAAGGGCCAGTTCACACCCCCTCCCACCCCGCAGTGGGTGGCGCCCTGCCCTGTCCTTCCTCCCCTCACCCAAGGTGGGCTCTTGGCCTCACAGTGGGTCTTTCACAGCTCCTCCTGTCATTTCTCCTTATTCACCTTGTCCTGATTCATTCTCGCTGCAGTTGATCCAGGAGCTGATTTTGCAGTAGCACCTGCTGGTCAAGTCGCTCATTCTCAGAGACTGATACTGGTCAGAGGCCACCTGCCATTGCAGGAAATAGGGGATAGTTGTCCCGTTGCTCCTGCTAACACTCACCTGTTTGTCCTGCAATCTCACCTGTGGGCACAATGGTGAAAGTGAGGACAGGCAGCCGGGGCGTCCTGCTCTGGGCCCAGGGATGTGGAGGTCAGCACTGACTCCCAGGTCCAAGGCTGGCAGCACCTGGGCAATCTGTCCTCTGCACAAGCACCCAGGGTCTTGCTCCCGGGGCCTAAGCGGAAGCCCCTGGGTGTCCCCATCCTGGAGAACCAGGAATCTTGGACCTAGAAGTGGGGTCTAGAGTTCATTCTGCAGCTTCTGGACAACACTCTGTCCATGGTGGCCCATTGGCAGGGCCTTGCGATGGCCAGGGAGCCCCATCCAAGCACTTTGCTCTTATCGTCTTCTCTATTCCTATAGATGTCAAGAGAGGGGTGCGGCAGGGTGATACCATTTCACCAAAACTCTTCAGTGCCACCCTCGAGAACATCATGCGACGACTGGAATGGGAAGGAATGGGAGTGAAGATAGATGTTCGGCAACTACACCACCTCCGCTTTGCTGATGACATTGTTTTAATAACACCAAACATCAGCCAAGCGGCACAAATGCTGGCCGACTTTGACCGTGAGTGTGGAAAGGTAGGACTACAGCTGAATCTTACGAAGACAATGTTTATGAGAAACAGCCTTGTTCCTGACGCCCCATTCGCTCTCAATGGAACGACCATCTCCGAATGCAACAGCTATGTGTACCTAGGTCGAGAGGTCAACATGACAAATGACCTGGCACCCGAGCTGCGCAGGAGGAAGAGAGCGGCTTGGAACGCCTTCAAGAACGTCGAAGAAATAGCTAAGAGGACGAAGAACCTCCGGCTCCGGGCACATCTCTTTGATTCCACTGTTCTTCCTGCATTAACATATGCCTCAGAGACCTGGGCCCTATGCAAACAAGATGAGAACGCCATTCAGGTCTCCCAAAGAAAAATAGAAAGAGCTATGCTTGGAATATCACGTTTCACTCAAATGAGAGAACGAATCCGGAGTTCTGACATCCGTCGACGATCAAGGATCAGGGACGCTGTCTCATTTGCCAAGGTGTCGAAAATCAGATGGGCTGGTCACGTAATGAGATTTAAAGACGACCGTTGGACTAGAGCTGTTACTGATTGGATTCCAGGGATGTCAAGAGACCGCGTGGCCGCCCACCTACCAGATGGTCAGACTTCTTTGTCAAGGTCATGAACGATCGGTTTGAGGCCCTCCATGTTCCCGGAGCGAAGAGATGCCATTGGGCTACACTAGCACGCGACAGGGACAAATGGAGACGTTACTGGCGCCCGCTCGAGCAAATCGACGACTAACGGGAAGTTAAGTGATTAAGTGATTCCTATAAACTACATTTTCTGTTCATCTTAAAGAGTCCACACCAGGCAGAGGTGTGGACCACATCTTCTGATTGTGGGTGTTCACAAAGATTGTTCCACTCTAAACTGGGTCACACACTGTGGGGGAGGGAGGCATGGGTTGGAGATTATATTCAATCTTCTGCACTGCGTGATCACCCCAGCACCATGGGAGGAGGGCCGCTCAAACAAATAAACCCAGACTGAGTTCCAGTACTAGTGTTAATAGAACTAAAAAATAATAATAAAATAAATGGGGCCAGAGAGGTAGTACAGGCCTTGCAAGTGTCTAACTCCACCTGGATCCCCAAAACCACATGGTCCCCTGAGCTCTATCAGGAGTGACTGAAACCTTCATGGCTGCCTTTAGAAACCTTGAAGGAGATTAAGCTTTGTTTCTGTTTGGGGGAGATTGGAGATGCAGAGTCTGTGTCCACCTGAATCTATTTGTTACTGCCAAACCTTTTTCCATTCCATCTACCTTTATCACATTCCTGCTTTTGCCTTTATTCACTGATTGTCCTGAATAAACTTGTCGATGAACCACCAGTCATTCGCCTGATCCATTGCTTTCCCGTCAATAGTCCGCGTCCGTGTCTATGAACTATCAGCCTTAGACCATGTTCGAATAGTCCATCCCTCCCAGGTACTGTGTCACCATGGGATGGTGACAAAGTGGCACCTGAATAGGGACCTGAATGGTGTTAAGAGCTAATGATCAGGGAAGCCCCCACATTAACATGGTAAGTGGGAAAATGAAACAAAATGAATACAAAGCTAACACCCTTGATTAAGAGGGCAAAGGACAATATATACAAGGTTCTGAAACAGTGGGCATTAGTGAATGCCATGAGTTCTGTATGAGCCTTTAAGGAAGAGGAAACTAAAATAAAAACTGAGAAGTTTCTCACACCTCAGAGCCTTACATCTACACTCTAAATGACTAACACTTAAGTGCTCTTGAGCTTAAATGACTCCTCCCTCTGATTCTCAAATTTCAAAGATTTCAACCCATTAGACTTGGTCTCCTTAAAAAGGGGCGGATGAACACCCAGAACTCACTATTGATGAATTTTCCTCTATCAAGTTATTTTTAGACAAAGTGCCTGATGATTCTAACCTGCCAGAGGTATTGGCATGGCTGGGGCCTGAAAAAGGGGAGTTTTCTGGCCCCCTCCCTGCTCTCACACTCACCAGGGGCCTCTCCACCTGGGTCCTGCTCCCTGCCAGAAGGAGAGGAGGTTAAGCCAGGCTAAGCCATCAGTTCCATCTCTCTCTCAGGCCTGCTGAAGGGACGCCAGCCAGAAGCCCCATAGGCTGAGAAGCGAATGGGAATTGTCTACCTCAGACCAGGGATGTTGAAAATGGTCATGTCCACTGCCTTGACTTTATAGTAATTGGCCATGATCTAACATGCCAGCAGAACTCTCTATCTGCTTCTCTGAGAGACAGACTAGGAGCAGAGTGTGAGGGGCGGGAAACACTGGGTGGTCTCAACAGCCGAAAGGGTCCAATTCACCCTGCCATATCACGCAACGTGGTGACCTGGGTTGGACCCCTGGCATGCCCTGGTGTCCCCTGAGCCCTCCATGTCTGCAGAGCCATGGGTGCAGAGCTAGGAGTAAGCCGTGAGCACAACTGGCTGTGGCCTCCAAACCAAAGCAAATCAAAGCAAAAATCAAAATCAAACACAAAACCCAAATAACTGAACCACTAGCCATGCTAGGCGTGCACTCTTAGCACTATACCATTTCCCAGCTTCTATGTTAGTTTTGAAGCTCTGTGCTCAGGGATCACCCCTGGTGGTGCTCAAGGGTTCATATGAGGTACCACGAATCACCCCAGATTAGAATAACACAAAGCAGACACCTTACCACCTGTATGCTAGATTTTGATGTATTACATTTCCTTGCTTGCTTGTCTATTTGGTTTGGGGGCCACATCCAGCGGTGCTCAGGGTTCACTCCTGTTTCTGACTCAGGGATCAGCCCTGGCCATGCTCAAGGGGCATTCTATGGGATGCCAGAGATCGAACCCAGATAGCGCAAATGCCCTTCCCACTGTACTATCTCTGGGCCGCTCTTATCTTTTTCAAAATTAAATTTTTAACTGACTGTTGTTTTTCTGTACTGCATCCCAAAAGGAATACACGGTTTACAATGGTGCGTATAAAATTCACAAACATTCTGGCGAGTACCAAGAAGTCACGTGTCAATTAGCACCAACCCCACCTCCCACTTCCCCTCCTCTTTTTGTTATTCTTGGACTATTTTGAAGGGACACACCCAGTGGTGCTCGGGCCTCACTCCTGGCTCTGTATTTGTATGACTCCTGGTGGGGTTTAGGGGAACATTTGAGTTGCCTGGGACTCCGGGTCACATCCGGGTCGTCTGTGTACAAGGCAAATGCCCTACCCTCTGGGCTACCTGTCCAATCCTGCAAGATAGTTTTTCCTGAAAGAAAGTTACTTGGTAAGATGTGAAGGGAGGACATGTTCGAAAGAGAACGTGGGCTGAAAGAACTGACCGCAAACCCTAACTTGTAATGGCCTCTAACTGCCTATACTTGTCAGTCACAACTTGCCAGTAGTTCCTTCGGTCTGTCTCCTATCCCCATTTCTATGCCATGAGAAGCTGGCTGGTACCTCAGCGCTCTGCCTGCCACTGCCATGTGAGCCTCTTTCACCTGCGGTTGGGCGGATCTTTTTTCATACCCAGCCGCCTGGTCCCGGCAGAACGCCCGGCAGCTTTGCCAGGTAGGAAGCAGCCCATTTTGCCACCTTAGGCTTTGCCTGTCTCTCACCTACTCTGGATCAGGGAGTCTCTGGGAGGCTGGAGGGGCATGGGGAGGGGAGTGCTGGGCAGGTGCCAGCCCTGACTGGCGGCAGCTCAGGAGAAGTATTGGCATCTCAGGACAGTTTCCAATCCCCCAAATCCCACCAGACCTCCACCCTGTTTTTCAAAGGTTGTGGTGACACACTTATAACACTATGGATATTTTACCTGTCATGTCATGGTTACCCAGGCCTGGCCATTGTGAAGATGTGAAACCAGGCCAGTTTAGTGAACCCAAGTGGCCTCGGGCCTTCTTCTTCTGTAGGAGTGTCCTGGCAGGCAGGAGTTAATCCCATCCCTATTTAGGGTTGGAAGACCTCCCGATCTTCAGGACCTGCCTGGACACTCAGACCAGGGCCCAGGCTGTGGTCAGTCACTCCATATCTGCAGATCCCTGGTTGTCCATAGCAGAGACCATTCCCAGTTCTTCTGTCAGCAAAACTGCCTGAAATAACAATTCTATTTCTGTCCGAAGTTGAAATCCTTGAGTGTTAAAAGTAGATAAAGGGATATTCCTGATACCCTTTCAGTATCTGTATTGTAAACTGCAAAAAGGGAGACAGATAGAGAGAAGAAAAGTGTCTTACCATAGACGAGGGCCTGGGTTTGCTGGGTGGGGGAGGGTGTTGAAGGGAGGGAAACTGAGGACACTGGTGCTGCGAAATGTGCACTGGTGGAGGGATGGGTGTTGGAAAAAAGGATGAATGAAATCTAATTATGAACAGCTTTGTAAAGGTCTAGCCACAGTGATTTTATGAAAATACATTTTTAAAAAATGAATGGCTTATATTTGAAGTTTTCAAAGGACATGTGTAGTACATTATCTGCGGTAAAATCCGGAGCTTAGCTGAGGCTTTGGGATCATTACAGGAGCAGGGACATTGGGAGCCAGATTTGAGTTTAGAGACAGTCCATGGTGAGCAGAGCAGTGGTTCAAATGTGTCCTGCTTTGAGGATCATTCAACATGTCATTACCTAATTTCTGTTTTTAGATGATATTGCCTTTAGGTTAAAGAGGAACTTTGTAGGGGTATCATAAATCACAAACTAATATCACTTGCTTTAAATATGGAAATGGAAAAACTTAAAGTTGTGAGAACAACGAAAAAGAAGCAGGTGGACCTCAAACTGATATATGGAAATGAAGAGCAAGTCACGCCTGCCAGGAGGTGAATTTTGACCTGTGGGGCACGTGCCCCCCACAAATGTGCTGTGCCAGCAGAGACAGCGGTGGGTGCAGGAAGTGCAGGTGGTGCCCTGGCCATGACTGCCTCCACGTGTCCACTCCCGTGGTGTTCTATTATTGGTAGCTGGGTACGGCGCTGGGCCATAGGCAGCAGTACTCAGGTGCTTTTCCTGGCTCTGTGCTCAGGAGTGAGGCCTGACCCTGCTCGGAACTCCGTCTGTGCAGCTGGGGATTCAAAGCAGGACCCTCGGGTCTCAGAACCCGCCCCAGCTGTCCTACCATTCACACCATGCCCTGCTCCATGTTTGGGACAGACCAACAAGCTGAAAGAGAAGAATTTTACAAACATACATATATATATTTTAAAACATAATATATATATATTTTGCTTTTTGGGTCACACCCGGCAGTGCACAGGGCTAATTCTTGGCTCATGCCCTCAGGAATTACTCCTGGTGGTGCTCGGGGTACCATATGGGATGCTGGGGATCGAACCCGGGTTGGCTGCGTGCAAGGCAAACACCCTCCCTCCTGTGCTATCACTCCAGACCCATATATTTTTAAAAAATCAGAATGTGGGGCTGGAGCGATAGCACAGCGGGTAGGACATATGCCTTGCATGTGGCCGACCCGGGTTCGATTCCCAGCATCCCATATGGTCCCCTGAGCACTGCCAGGAATAATTTCTGAGTGCATGAGCCAGGAGTAATCCCTGTGCCTCAACCGGGTGTGACCCAAAAAGAAAAAAACAAAACAAAACAAAAAAACAGAATGCTGCACGGGAGAGCCTCATACTTGTTTGGGTTAGTGAGTTTGGGGGTTGGGGTCATGGGATCATGGATTCAAGTCTGATAGATATGGGGAGGGGCAAGGCAGAAAGGGGTGGCTTAGAGTATCCAGGGAAGCGCCCTGTGAATGAGGCATGGGGAAATATGAAGAGACAGGCCGGGAGCAGCAGCTGAGAGAACCTCACCCACCCTCTGCACCTCAGGGTCCCCCTATGTGGGGCAGCTGGAGAGATCGGGGTCGGCTGTCCACTCCCCAGAATGTTATGAGCACAGAAATGCAGAGAGCTCTAGGGGCAGGACATAGAACGCTTGTTTCTAGTTGTCCCTAGTATCCCTTCCAGCACTGCCAGGAGGGCTCCAATGGGTCCAAACCAGGAAAGAATCCACTTTGTAAGGGGCCCGGAGCAGCAGAGGGCGGTGAGGAATGAGCTGACCCCGAGAAGAGCAGGAGGAACCAAGAGTCGGGGCTGTGGACCATGAAGTTTGGGTGGGGCTGAGGGTCTGGGGTCCTTGACTGTCTGCTCCCTCTCAGGTGCACCGACCCTGGGGCACCCACAACTCAGCCACCTGAGGTCCTGCTTATGAAACATCAAGTCCATTTGGGGGCCAAGAGGTCCAGGAACAAAAGGTGAGCTTAGAGAAGAACTGCAGATGCGAGTGGGGACTGAGGGGACTGAGCTGGGGTGACAGGAGCCGGGGGCAGCGCCTCCTGCAGGCTGAGGACTGAAGGGTGGCCTGAGTCGGGCGAGGCTCGATCTGTGTCTCAGCAACAGTGGGCAATATTTCCCGCATCTTCACTGCGAGCCCACGAACAGCTGCCGAACACCAAGAGTTTTGTGAGAGGGTACAGGGGTCTGCTGGCCATCAGCTCCCCTCCACACAAGGCTCTTCTTGGGGCATGACATTGCAGCCTTCTGGGCTGTGACTTTCCTGGCCTGTGAAATGGGCTGGTAAGGTCAAGAGCCCGCGTTGAGTTCTTGGGAGGTAGGACAGGCCAGGATGCCAGCCACTGAAGGGTTGTGGGGGTGCGGACTGGCCCACACTGCACAGAGAGGGGTCCTGGAGGTGGGAGGCTATGGGGTAGGATAAGGGATGGAGGCAGGGAGAGATCCCATGTCTAGGCAGGTGCTGTCTAGGCATTGGACCCGGGAGTAAGTAACTGAGCCCTGCATCTCCTGGCTGGGATCTGGACGGTCCTCGCGCCTGTCCTCACTGCCAATGTCCTGCCCCCAGGACGATACAATGCAGTAGACAACTGCAATCCAACAGGATGTGCATGCCCACCGCCACCTGGGTTCCAAGGCTGAGCAGCTGCACCAGGCGGTTCTGCAGGAGAAGCTGCTCCTGGTCCAGCTGCTGCAGCACCTGTCAACGGAGCAGGCCCAGGTAGAGGCAGACCGTGGAGAGGGCGGGGAGGCCCAGGGGTAAGAGGGGCACCGGAACAGGGAGTCCCGCAGCCTCCCTGCCTCCTCCCCTAGTACCTTCACCTACAGGGGCCCTAGGTCCGGGACTTCCTGTCTCAGGCCCTGCTGAATTCACACAGGAGCCCTGGAAAACCGTGAGGGTTGGGGTTCCTAGGAGGGAGAAACCAGGTTTGGGAGTCAGGGGGTGGGGCTGCCTGGGAGGCGGGGCCAGGCGGGCCCCACCCCTGGTCACTGCACCCTCCGCGGTTGGCTGAGACCCAGCGGCCGCCTGACAACCCATCAAGAGGGAAAACACACTGGGGTGGAGAGGGAGATGCTGGAGGTGTGTGAGACCACGAAGACTGCAGCTGGAGGCGATGGTGAAGGAGGGGAAAAGCCGACCCTGAAGTCAGTGAAGGAAAAATTTAAAACTCGGAGGGGTTCAGGTGAGCCAGACCCAGGTCTCGTCCCAGGGCCCTTCCCCAGCCCATCTGACGCTCTTCCCTACACCCTTGGCCTTACCCATGACCTCCGGGCCCTCCGTGTCACAGAGACCCTGGCCTCATGGCCCCCTGTCCCTGGGCGGGGCCTGTCTTGCTTCTTCTCTGGCCCCGCCCCCAGCAGCACCTCCCCCACCCAGGAAGGTGCACCCCACCCAGCTGCAGCTCCTGCTGCATTTCTTCCGAGTTTTCATGCACTGCCCCATGCTCTCGAGGCCAGGGCTCTCTGGATGTGCCCAGCTCACTGGAACACATCAATGTCTGCATTGTATGCGCTGTTCCGCAGAGGGGCCAGCAAGCACCCCCAGCCCCTCACTGGGCAGCCTCCGTGCCTCCCTCCCCAACCCCTCCCCCCCACCTCCCATTGTCCAAATAGGGCTCACAGGCTCACGTGGGACCTTCCACTGGCCTCACCAGCCCATTTCCCCGGCAGGCTGGAAAATGCAGCCTTAGAGGGGTGGAACGGCTTTACCCTTGGAATTCAGCCCTACCCCCCCGCCATACCCCCCTGCCCCCGCAGTCGCAGATCTGCCAGTTTTGCTTTTTCTCCACGTTTCTCCACCGGACCCTTCAGGCTTGGGATAAAAAACCCCACCGAAGGGGTTTGGGAGGGCTGGGGAGGACGTTCAGTTCAGAGAATTCCTGAGCCTCAACCCCAGCTGGCAAGCAAAAAGTGGGCTCTGACATTCACTAACTCGACCAAGCCCTCCCTTCAGAGGAAGAGAGGTGACCAGTGTGGAGGTATCGAGGAGGAGTGTCTCGGGGAGAGCATGCCCCAGGGTTCCTTCCCGCTCAGAAGAGGCTTCCAGGGTTCCCCTTCACATTCTCTACCAACCCTTTTTCCAAAGGACCGCCCCCCCCAGATGGGGGCTATGTTGGCAGCATGGCCTCAGGGCACCCTACTGTCTTTCTTTTTTTTTCCTCCATGTTGCTCTTCTTCAGAATGAATGATTTTGTTGTTGTTGTTGTTGTCTCCAAATGAATGATTTATTTTGTTGCTGTTAATTTTTTTTAAATTTCTGGGGCACACTCAGCAGTGCTCAGTGGTTGCTCCTGCCTCTGAACTCAGGGATCTATCTCCCTTGGAGGGCTCAGGAGACTATTTGAGGTGTCAGGGTGCATTGGGAGTGTGAGCATCAGGTGTGTGAGGCGTGCACAGGAGGAAGAGTGAACAGGCAGCCCCTTGAGCAAGGCACAGGTGGCAGGGCAGAGCTAAGGGCTGGGAGCTGAGGCTAAACCGAGAACCTTCTCGTTCTTGCAGTGGTCAGTGTGGCCATGACCGCTGGCCCCATGTGCTCTCCAGGCCTTCCACTCACTGGGTCTGCTACCCTCCTCCTGCCCAACGCTTTACCTGCCTGGACCCCAAAGATGTGTTTTTCTGTTTGTAAACTGCACCAGGAAGGAACCAAGCCCTGTTTGCCTTGAAATGGGCAGATCTAGAGACAGGCAGGGAAGATTGGTCACTGTGGACCGTTTTCTTTCCAGGTGCAAGAATTCAGCTCCCTTGTTCAGGGAGGTCCTGGCTATGGACTCAGAAAGATTCCCTGGGCAGCCCTATAGTGTCCTGTCCTGCAGTGCATTGAGGATGCAGTCCTGGCAGCAGAAACCCAAGGGCCTGATGCACGTCTCTACTCCTACTCTTGGAAGAAAGCACATTTAGAAATAAGGACTCACCAGTGTACCCCCCAAAAATCCCCCTCTTCCCACAACAACCAAACAGCACTGAATTCAGCCTCAAAAATGGACTCCACAGAAAGAAAGGGACAGACATAGAAAGATTGCACTCATCTGGGGAACATAAAGTAACAGAATAGGAGACTAACACCCAAGAATAGCTGAGATAGGTACCAGGAGGTTTAGGTACCAGCCACACACGTTAGGGGAAAAGGCAGCTCAGATAGAGAAGGGAGCACCAAATAAAGGGTGTTGGGAGGATCCTCCCAGGATGGGAGATGCATGCTGAAAGTAGACTATAGACAGAACATGATTGCCACTCAATGCCTCTTTTGCAAACCACAGCACCCAAAAGGAGAGAGAGACCAAGAGGGAATGCCCTGCCACAGAGGCAGGGTGGGATGGGGGAGATGGGGGGTGGGAGGGATACTGGGATCAGTGGTGGTGGAGAATGGGCACTGGTGGAGGGATGGGTACTCGATCGTTGTATAACTGAAACCCAAGCACAAAAATGTGTAAGTCTACAACTGTACCTCATGGTGTTTCACTAATAAAAATTAAAAAAAATTAATTCCACAACAACAACCAAAAAAAAAAAAACAAAAAACAAAATTGGACTCCGGGGAAGAGGAAGGAGTTGAACCTCTTTGTTCCTGAGACAGGGCCCCAGGCTCCAGGAATCCTGACAGAGACACTTGGGCTCCTGGCACAGACTGGGGACAAAGATCTCTCTCTGAGGCCTGTGAATGGTCATTGTGCCTCTGACCTCCAGCTGCTGCTGTCCTGCTGGTCAGGCTGAAAACAATTCACCCCAAGCTTCCCCATTCAGCGGTGACAGCAATGAGTTTCAGTGGGCATGAGCGGCTACCAAATGCCTGGATGGCGCAATATCGTGGACTGTTATATAAAACCCCATCAAACTTTTGCAGCTGGACAGATCATCCACGCTGCCACCTTTCTGCCCTGAGAAGAGTCCGCACCCCCTCCCACCGTGTCTTTCAGGAAGTGCAGGATGACATCTATGACTGTCCATGGGCAGTCTCCTGTGACTGTGGAGGCTCAGGCACAAAATTTCCAAAAGTGGGCTAGTGTTGAGTCAGGACTGGAAGAAAGAAGCCCTTCACGCACCCCCTCCCCTGCCTCAGGAATGGACTGAGGTCCCTGCACCCTCACGGCTCTTACAGTCGCGGGTGTCATGCGACTTATGTTAAGACTCACCACACTTATGTGAAGAAGGAACAGGGGCTCTGGGGAGTGTTGGCAGACCTGCTTGGTATCCCGCTGAACAGTCAGCTTTGCTTTGGCCGTGTCCCAGGAGCTGCCTATCAACACAGGGCAGGAGTATGAAGATCCCACACGGGCCTCACTGGGTCTCTGCTGTTTCCTAGCCTGGGACTAGTTCTCTGTCACACCTACAGTGTGGGGTCCCTGCCAGACAGACTCTGGAATTGATCTCCGTATGTAGAGTCGAGGGTATTGATAGGTCTAGGATATTGACTCCCAAGTTCCAGGTAAGGCCCATATGTTTCCTTTGGCTTTTGACATGTGGCTCAGTGAGGACATTGGGAATTTTGGGGTGTGAAGCTGTGTGGACATGAGGGTCCAGACCAGACTGCCAGTGAAATGCTAGTTTTTCTCTCCTTTATGGCCTTGGTATGCTTTTGGCTCATGGCAATGTCTTGTTTGTTGAGACCCCTACACAGACACTGCTCGATGCTGGTGTCATGGTTCGGTCCTGATCTCATCCTGGACATTCATCTTACTAACTTAAGCTTCAGTTTCCCAATGATTGTCCTTGATTCCTCACAGTCACAGTCCTCCCGTTGTTCATCGATTTGCTCGAGCGGGCCCAGTAACGTCTCCATCGTGAGACTTATTGTTACTGTATTTGGCATGTTGAATACATCACGGGTAGCTTGCCAGGCTTTGCTATGTGGGCGAGATACTCTCGGTAGCTGGCCGGCCTCTCCGAGAGGGGCGGAGGAATCGAAATCAGGTCGGCCATGTTGGCTGCGTGCAAGGCAAACGCCCTACCGCTGTGCTATGGCTCCAGCCCCCTTGATTCCTAACAACCCCAAACGTGCATCATGTGGAGGGCTTTGGATGGACCTGGGACAGGTGCCAGGCAACCCTGAGTTGGACAAGGGAAGGCCTAAGGGCCCACATGTAATGTGGTACAGAGCACAGCATGGGACAGACTTTGACCAAAACAATGGTCAAGGACCCGTTGGGGTTGGTGAGCAAAATGAAACTGACCCAGGATTGGGGTCTGGGGTAGGAGGAGATGACATGTGCCCAGGAAAAGCCAACAGATCTGACCAATGCCTGACTTTACAGGAGCCATTGAACTCAATTTGAAGTGACAGATTAAAGGAATCTGTGATTCTCTTGCTGAGCGTATGCAAGATGACAGGCCACATTGATGAGAAGCAAATTTCACCATTGCTGTAAATGTTTAACATAAAGGAGGTGAGGAAACAGAAACATCTGCATTAGCAACTTGTCACGGTGTCCAACTGTAGAACCGTGGGTCTTCTGGCAGGGAGAGCTGGAGGCTGGACACCAGACCTTAGTCTCAGGCCTTAGTCATCCATATCCTTAGTCTTCTTACACGGCACCAGCCTGTCCTTCATGACCATCATCTCGAGTTCCATAGAGGTCATGGTCTCACAAACCTCCACTATGTTCACCTCCAACTCCGTGTTCTTCGACACTGGATTGACTATGGCGCACTCCAGGGTCTCAGCCGAGCAAGGAAGGTGGAGGCATCTCAGGGGTCCCGCCTGGCTCCACCTCCCATATAGCCCCACCTCCAGATCCCCATCAGGCACTTCTCCCTCCTAGAGACCCACCGCACCACTCACCCTCTTCAGGGTACCCTTGGAATTCCAGCAAGGCCTGGGGCTCCGTTGCTCCTGATTTCAGGACTGAGAATCCCCTAAAGATGAAGGCACCAGGTGAGTAGGCAGGTCTAGGGCCTGATGCGCCTTCCTGTCCCTGAGCCCCTGCCCACCCCCTCACCTGGGTTTCCCTCAGCTCCCTGAAGGTGGCCTCCAGCAGGGCCTGCTGCTTGGTTAGCACCTGCTGCAGGTGGTCCATGAGCGGCTTGTGCCTCAGGACCTTCTCGACCTTGGAGTCCAGGTGAGTGGGACATCCAGGTGTGGGGTTGCAGCTGTGTGCTGCTTTTGATACCAGCAGAAGAATTCCAGGCTGCAGGCACTGCACCTTCTGGTCTTGCATGCACATCTCTGTCATGAGACAGGGCCGAAGGCTGTCCAGATCCCACCACAACATTCAGGGCCCAGACACTCACACACAGGCCCAAGGAAAACAGCACATGGGGTAACCTGTC